TTTTTTTTTTTTTTTTTTTGGAACGATTGAAATTTTATAAAAATACACATACAGTCACACCCAGATAACAACCAAACAAAATAAAAGAGATGTTATAAAGCCGAAACTAGTGGAAGGACAAACCCAGAGGTCGCCTAGAGCCTACTCTCGAACAACACATAAGACACCCACCTAAACAAACTAAAGCTCCACGCTCCCACAAGTGGAGAATCACACACACACACACACACACACACACACACACATACACACAGACAATAGAAGAAAAACACAAAAGCAAAAAACCTACGACACACTAAGACACTAACACAAATAAACTACATAAAAGACTAAAGCCCTCCTCCTAACCGAAGGCACTCCAGATCAGCACCACCCGAGCCAAAATGCCGGCAACCTCCCAGGAATTGAAGCCAGTCCACAACTCGAACACAACTGAAGAAACTGTCAACCTACCGAGAGGCCACTACTGAAACCACACAATGATACCCGTATCTAACTTCCCCTAACACAAACCGAACGCTGCAACTCCGCACACAAAAGAGCTAGGAGCCACCACCGGAGGACCCAAGTCGACCCAGCAATAAGGCAAGAAGAGAAACAAAGGCTAAGCCAAATACCTATCTTGGCCCCAGCCATCGACGAAAAGCAGCCGGATCCCACCACGGCCAATCGCTCGCAAGCCAACGAGCCCTGACCTCCCACCACTGCCTACCTAGAGAAGGAAAAATTCCGCAACAATGGAGATTAATGACCTGCTAGTTGGCTCGCCATCAGCCCAGGAGCTTAATCGGAGTGACAGGGAACAAAACACCGGTGGGAGGGAGGCGATCCCGTACAAAATTAGCTTCTTAGGGTTTCTTCTAAATTTCGGCAAAGTTTTGAGAGAGAGAGAGAGAGAGAGAGAGAGAGAGAGAGAGAGAGAGAGAGAGAGAGAGAGAGAGAGAGGAGGCCTAATTTATAAGTTGATTGAAATAAAACTTTAAAATTAACTTACTGCTAATTTTATTCTCCATGAATTTTGGTTTTGGATTATAGAAATTAATGGGATGTTGAAAGCCCTTCTCTTACAAACACTGAATACATAGAGCTGTACTAATGTGACATGCATTAATCTTGGTGACTTGAGATGTCGGTGAATTTAAATTATTATATTTTTGAAGATATCAATGTTAATGCCTAAATTTGAACTATATTTAATTAGTAGAACTTTTTGTGATTCTCTGGATTCATTCATCACGTCTTTCAATTCACTTTCTGTCATTCAAAAAAGAAATCAACTTACTAGTCTTAGTTATAATGATTGGAGGAGGATCTTGGACATTTTCTTGACTCAAAGAGACACAAGTTTTATAATAGGTTAAATGCATGCTAGTTTTTCCTTAAAGCTAGTGGATAAAAAGTATGGTCCATGCCATGTTGTTTGAATTTTTGCTTTAATTGTGCAGAACATGCCGAGCCCTATTTGTTATATTATGCTGGAAATGGTGTTGAACATCAGGTATTATGTTCAGTTATAATGCCTTATTGATGTGCTAAGGATTGGTTAAATTGTGAAGAGAAAGAGAGCACGATATGTTTTGTTCTTTGGCCTTATTTTTGAACATGTTTTTGAGTTATATTATTGTTGAACTTTTCTGTCAGTATGTTCTTTATTTCAGAGGATATGAGCTCAATTAGATGTATTGAGAAGAATGTTAGTATATTAGAAATTAAGCAAAAAGAAGAGTATGTGTATATGTTGTGGTTTGACCTTGTTCATATATGCTGCTTGAGCTTGATGTTGTCTTGAAATTTGTTGAACCTTAATTTTGTGCTATATGTGTTGTAATGTGTTTATTTTTTGGCGATTAAGTTCAGTTTTACTTGGCCTTGTGTTGGCTTGAATTTGAGTAGAAAAAGGAAGAAAAGGAGATCACCTTGAACTTAGATTTAGGTAACCGTCTACCAAAGAAGC